CACGTGCCGCAGGCGCGCGGTGCGCAGCAGCAGCAGATCGCGCGTGGAGCGCCTCTTGCCTCGGGTGCTCGGGGATCCGATGGTGGGAAGGTGGCTGCAGTGCAAGGGTGGCAAATACAGGGTTCTGCTGCAAGGTGACACGAGGAGGAGTCTCGTGCACAGAGTGAGACACACGACAGAGCCGAGTTCACACATGTCTAATAAAAGCATCTTGATTGATTCTCAGTGACCTAATATTGTGGAGATTTTTTTTTGTTTCTTACTTTAGTGAACTTCAGTTCAAGTTCCTTACAGCTCCTCGATTTCAGCATCCTTTTTTGTCGTCTTTGGTTTTGATAGTTCTGTCCTAAAAAACACCAAGGAGGTGTTTTTGTTTGTTTGTTTTCCAAGTCTTTGGTGCCTTTAGGAATACTGCTAAAACAACTTGGAAGTGCAGAAAAGTGTGCCAAACCACCTGCAATGCTTCAAGATGTCACTTGAGAACACAACACAGCACAGAAAGTGGCAAACAGCACCCTGCTGGGAAAGTTTGTTTGGTCAGCAGTATGGCATAAATTCTCTAAATCTTTCAATAAGATATGGTATATAGCAATTTCCATCTTCATTAAGGACATTCTTAACTTAAAGGAGCTGTAGAAAAGCTTGCAGAGTCAAAGCAATAATATGGAGACTCTACTTATGAAATATTTGAAACTACACAGTTTAATCAACACCTCTAACACCTGGATTAGCCCATTCAGGAGTACTGCACAGAGGCAATGCAGGGGCATTTCTTTTCCTTTAAGTCTCCAGTTAATGTTTTTTTATGGGAAACTGCCAGGACAGTTTTTTGCTTTTTAAAAACAACAAACAAGCAAATAACTTTAGTGGCAGCTCTAAAGCAAATATATTGTTTGCAAGTAGCTAAGTTTAGTAGTAATGCTATGCACTTTAGGAAGAAAAAAAAAAAACAATGAGGGAGCTATGGGCAGTGGGAGCAAAGAAAGAGAGAGGGAAAAATTGATTTCAGCAGCCACTGCAATGCAGTTGACAAGACTTAGCAGTACTGGTGCAAAGAATGGCAATATATTTCTAAATACCTCATGCACTTAGGACTTTTCCATTTAAAAATTTTTGAGGAGAGAGACAGGATTTGCCAAAGTGTGGCTTTGGGATATATGCCTCTATTGAACATGTTTTATCAGAGACAGTCCCACTAACAGATCTGTTATCTAAACTTCCGAGCTTTGAGATCTAGGTGCACACACCAGCCATGCCCTGCTCCACCACTGAGCACCAGTCTGCTCCCCATCAGTTTTTTGCAAAAAGGAAATCCATGCTGTGATGGGTTGACCCTGGCTGAGGGCC